ACAAGTAAATAAAGACCGAAAAAATAACTGTATACATTAAAAAATCAATAAATATAAGACATATATTATAAAATAACCTACTTCATGTTTGATAACATTTAAAATATCATTGTAAAATTATAGAATATTTTTTTTTGCCAGAGTATGTGTGTGGCCATTAATCATGAAACTTTGTTAAGATTAAAAAGGTATCATCAAAAAGGGGAAAAAGTGAAGAAAAGATGCTCTATAGGAATAAAGCACCATCAAAATCTATTATTACTACTTCTTCATATGGTTGCAATTTAATATGTTACAAAAATAAATATATTTTATCTTTTTATTCCACATCATCAATCAATGTTATATTTGGTGCACTAAAATGTTAAGGGATTTTGACAATCAAGTCAAATTGACATACAATAGTAACAACATAATAAATAAAGAAACTAGTGATAATAATATAATTATTATTATATTATATTTAAGGTTTAATCTATCGTGATTTTTTAAAGTTGACATTAATTTTTATTTAGACATCTTAAATAAGCTTTGTTCATTTTAGACACCTTATGTCATATCTCGTTGTGTCAATTTGACACTTCTTACTGACATGCATAGTGCGTGTAATACACTCAATACCAACGGGTGATAGTCTCATTTAATCATTTTTATTTTATCATTTTTCATTTTCTTCGTCATAACTCAGCCATCATCTCTCAAAACTTGAACTCCTTCCGTGGAGAAATAGTTTTGATGATGCTACAGACAGAAAAACTGAATTTCAACACGAAGAGATTTCACAAAAAATAAATTTCAACCCATTAGAAAAGCCACAATTCATGTTGTTGCAAAAAAAAAAAAGAAGGGCAACGGAAAAATTTGAAAAAACGATGAGTGGGGTGGAGAAGACGATGTGGGCGGGGAAGGGGTTGGGGTTAGGGTGTGCAGAGGTGTAGAAGACATTGAGTGGATGTGGAATAGTGAAAAAGACGATCTGGGCGGTTGGGTGGGTAGGGGTTGAGGTGGAGGGGACGAAGAAGATGACCTTGGTGGGGTTGAGTTTTTTTTTTTTTTGAATTTTTTGTATAAAAAATTCCACAAATCATTAAGTCATTGGCTACTTCTTCATTCTACTAAAATATCATTATATAAAAATTATTTTTAACACGTATTTTTATTTAATTTGTCACTTTCACACGTCATTGGGCGAGTGTGTTAAACACACCTTATTATTTGACTGATTGTTTAAAAGGTGCTAAAATAACACAATTCAGTATGACATGAGGTGTCTAAAATGTGCAAAGCTTAGTTAAGAAATCTAAATGAAAATTGATGCCAACTTTAGGGGTCACCGACGAGGTAGACCTATATTTAATGTTATTGATAACTATGACATAGAACTCAGTTACCGCTAAATGTATTTATAGCAATGCTTAAAAAAATCTATTATCACTAAACATTTCTCTTCAATTGTAGATAGATATTCTTCGTACTATATCTTAACACGATCATTAATATTCAGTTTTATCTTTTTCCGCACTTATTATATGAAAAAAAAATATTTTAAAAATGTGAATTTTCTCCCCCCTCGTCCGCTGTGGTAGATTGATAGGGAAAGGGCATAGCCTCACCATTATCTTCTTTATCAGCATATTTAATTATAATGTCAAGAAACAAACAAACATATAGAAGACCCCCCCTACCCCCTATACCTCATACCCTCACCCCACCATAAAAAATAAAAATAAAAATAGTAATACTTATATAGTGTACAAAGATTTTAAAACTGTCTGATCATCTAAAAGATAATTCTAGCTTCCGATTGGTGAAATTAATAATGTAAAAATCAAAAGCGAGAAAATTGTTATAATCAATAAATATATATAAATTATTTATACTGATAGTTTAAATATTATATATCACAAATATTAAAAGAAAATTATAATGTCAGATCGTTCGAGTAAATATCTAAAGATATATATAAACACGAAAATATATATTATATAAATGTTGACCTAAGCCCTTATTCAAAAGCTTGATCACTATTTGATCATACATAAACTATTTTACACTAACTCTTTGTAAGAACTTGAAGTCCCTCTCTCCATAGGAAAAATAATTACTTACGAGTCAAAAAAGATCGATCAAACTGCATTTGACATGATTGATCGATGACAATATATTATCACACCATATTAAATCATATTATAGTCTAAATCATTCTAGTAAAGAGAAAGCCTATGTACAACGAGATTCTGAGTCATACATTATATTTATCTACGTAACATAATTTATAAATAAACCTCCTTAAAATATGAGATTCAGCGTAATATATCTCGTATTAAAAGTAACTTTTGACTCATAAAATAAACTTTATTTTTCTTTTTGACTTATTCTCTTTAGCATAATAAAGCCAAAAACATTCTCTCTTACCCATTCTTCCAACAAAACCCTAATCCCTGTTTGGTAATTGGTTGCCAATATTTGACATTTCAGTAAAAAAAAAAAACGGTTCTCAATGAACCGGATATAATATAAATATATATTACTATATAGTTTTAAGATTATTAAAAAGGCCTCTGAATAACAGCTAGCAGTATTCTTTGCAGTAACTTTTTGTCATTCCCCATTCACCACTTATTGCCGTGGGCTCTATTGAGCTACCTTAATTTTTATTTTTATTTTTCAAGAAAATTATTAGATGTAAGAAAAACGGGCATATATAATCTTGAACTATCGTAAATTGTATGAAATATCCTCCTTTATACTTTAGGGACATTGGTGCTCCTGTCGTTAAAAAACTAGAGCATATATACCTCTTATACTAATAGACATTACACATATTGTAATCTTATCTGTCGATCCGACATTTATCGATGGATGAAATTGTGCCAAGTGTGTCTATTTAGTTTTCTGTTAGCGTGAAGGGACTCGCATATATGCTTTAGTTTATGGACGGCAGGGACACCAATGTTCCAAAAGTATGATGGAAGGTATCTGCATATCATTTACGATATTTTATATTTATCCTTTTTCCCTTAAAAATAATACTTAGTATAGTTCTTTTTTTGTATGATTGACTCATTATTCTTTGATATGATGTCAGAGTAGATAAAGATTCAATCATTTAAGTATTTTCAAAGTCATGATTCATTATCGTAAAAAATATTTATATGTTTGACTCATGAAAAAAGAATCTAAGTCTATGCTCTGTATTGAATTTTTTTTTTTTTTTAATTTTAAGATGGTGTTGTTAATTCTTCTATATTGGTGGAGGATGGTAATAATAGAAACAATTTTCGAACAGTTCTTCTTTGCTTTTATTATTACTATATATAACATGTGTTAAAAGACATAATTAATTAAAGGTGTGTCACCCTCTCTAATAGTTTATCAACTTAGTCTTAGATGAGATGATGATATATATATACACTTAATTCTATGTGGTATAGTTCGAATCTCAACACCAATCATCTAAAATGATAGTCACATAATTAGCTCATGAAAAAAAAAAGCAATACTACAAATAAAGACATATTGAAAATAAAATTAAGTAAATAAAAGTTTGCTCTTTTTTAACTGCGATAAGATATACAATCACACACTTCATCATTCATCTTCTTTATCCTACTCTTGTGTAGCTAGATATATAATTCTGTGACACCTTAACTTAAGATAAGAAGTCATACATTAGCAAAAGCAGATGTTTGTTATAAAAGTAAACAAGTCTTATCACCCTAGTGATGCATTTAAAAGTTGTGCGGATCTACACCCAGAGCGGACAACATCACTAGCGGGCTAATGACACCATAGCCATTCATGTGTCTGCCTTGTCGATGTGGGTCAGAGTTCAACGGAGCTTAGGCAAATCTCGATAAGGTGAGGTAAATCTCAGTGATGAGTCTAGGTAAATCTCATGTGGTGGAACGACAAACTTCAGCGAGGACGTTGAGTACATAGAGGATAAGTATGTGACACTCAATTTAAGATAAAAAAAAAGTCTCATATCCGCAAAACAGTTGGGTATATAAGTAAGCAAATCTTACTACGGACTCAACGTCCTCGCTGAATTTTGTTAGGTACGTGGATACTAGTGACACATTTTAACACCGTGCATGCCTTTGCTCAAAGCAGATAATATAACTAACATACCGAGGCCTTACAAACCTCTACCTTATGAAGATAAAAAAGAAAAACTTCGATAGACACTCAAACTCAAACTCAAGTAAACATTTCAATTTCTTTGTATGTAAGCCCTTCATCTTCTTCTATTAAAAAGGAACTAGTACTAGGAAGGGATCATGTGCTTTTATATACACTTATTATAATTACTTGTATAAAAAAAAACATTTATTTGAGAGCAATATATTGGAAAGAGAATAAAAGCATTTTCTCATTATAGTGACTTATGTCCTCTTATATATTTTGAACTCTCTCTCTATATATATATATTTGCTTCTTTCTTCATCCTCTTATAATATTTCACTTTCCTCCATATACAAATAAACATGTCATCAAGCTACATTGATTCTACTAATTTTGAGAAACTTTGCTATATCCCTTGCAATTTTTGCAATATTGTTCTTGTGGTATCTTTTCTATCCTATCTTTCTATTAATACTTTAATTAATATATATTCATTTATACATTTTTTTCTATATATGTGTGAACTACTTTGTTTTTTCTTACTACAAGTTGAATAAAGCTGATTTATGATTCAGAGATTGGTTATTTTTGGTGGTATTATATACATAAATAATTAAATCTCTTGATTTTCTCTATGTTTTTTTTTCTTTTTTTTCAGAAGTGTCAAGTCTCCATCTATCTTCTTCTTTTTTTATTTTTTTTTGAAAATTCTTTGATGTCTTTTGCAGTCAAAGAAAATTCTCTGATAATTTATCTAAAATAATTAAAAAAAGAACAAGCATGTTAAGTAGTGTCCTTTCAACTCTTTATATTAATTAGATTTAATTTTAATTTATTAATATATTTTTGTGTTGTACCTTTCTCTCTTTACTGAAAAGAATACACTAACAGGCTGCAAAAATTAAAGTAATTTTGATCAGTGTGCTATCAAAAAAAAGAATAAGACTTTTTCCTAGCTCATGGGGTTTAGTCATATATGATTAAGTCCTCAAATTTTTGACTAATTTAATTGTGGAATTAACCAATTAATTAGTTGTGTTTTAGGGTTTCTCAAAAATCTCACTAAGCTTTGAAATGTATTTGATATAGGGTTTCTTTTTTATTTTCTCGATTTTTGTTCACATCTTAGATCTATAAATTGATTCATCTCCATAATTGTAATGGAACTAGTCAAATAATCAAGAACAAGAAAATTTAGATTTTGTCTCGTTTTTACTACCTGGTTTATAGTCGAATCTGGAGAATGTGAAGTACTCACATTCTTCTTCTTGGTGCAATTGTGGAAAAATATAGTTGATGACCTCCCCCCTGGCCTCTCCCTAACCCTCGAGGCAGATGTAGAAAGTTCTGTGAGTTCAATTGAACACATGATCAACTCGTTATGTCTTTTCTCATCTTCATTACTTTGTTTATAGTCGAATATAAAGAACATGAACTTCTAACATTTTTGGTGGATTAGTGGAAAAAATGTAGATGTCAAAATTTAGACCTAAATTAATTCCCCTTTACCATTAGGTAGAGGGTTTTGCGAGTTCAATCAAACTCATTATTTTTTTTCTAGAAACATGTAAATCTATATGTAAATTGTACTCAATTACTCATTTCAATCCATAGAGGAGTCAAATGAGCACAAACAAGGTAATTTTTGCTCTCCTTTTTTCTTTTTTTTTTTCATTCTCACTATCTGATTTATAGTCGAATTTAAAGATCATGAACTTCTAACATTCTTCTTCTTAGAAAAAAGAAATTATCTCAAGATTTCGATCTCCCGCCTATCAAAAGGATTCTCCGAGTTCAACTAAATCTATTATTTCTGCTATAAATATATTAAAATCTCATTGACTCTAAATATTGAATTCACATCTATTAAGCCCTATCCTCACTTGTGACTATATATCATCAAAATTAAGTATGAAAATATAGTTGGAGCATATACTCCTAATAATTTCTTCTTCTTTTTATTTTTATTTTTATTTTTATTATTTGATTTTCTCGCTCGATATTCACATTAGGGTTTGATTTATTCGAATTTGCATTAAGAAAGTTTCATATAGTGCTAGGGATAAAAACACTTCATAACATCTGATTAATTAAGAATGAAAGAATATTTATCAATACTTAACAACACTACGTAAAACAGGAAAACTCTATACGTAGGGATTAAATATGAGACCTCTGATTTAATAGAGGATGAAAAAGTATTTATCACTCGAGAGCAACGCGTTTTGATTATTAATAATATTTGCAGGTGAGTGTTCCATGCAGCAACTTGCTTGATATAGTGACAGTTAGATGTGGACATTGCACAAATTTGTGGTCCGTTAATATGGCTGCTGCATTTCACACCAATTCTTGGCAAAATCATCTTCATCATCAGGTCAATTCTAACAAAAAAAAAAAACAAACTTTTCTTTTTTGCAGCTGAAATTGTGGGCGTTATGTTTTTTTTTATAGCCTTTTTTAAAAAAAAAAAACATCTAGGGTTTTCTAGGTTTTACTTCTTTTAAGAAAATACAGACATTGCTCGATGGTCCGATCCCCGTTTATTTTTACTTGTCCAATATTTACTTGGTACATTTCTTAAAATATGATCAATGAAAATTATCCTTTTACTGAGGTATCACTCCTTTAATATAATAAATTTAATATTTCGAGAAAACATTGGAAAATGACTATAGATAATAACCGTGGCGGGATTCAGAATTTTCATTAGTCAAAAAAAAGAGAGCAGTGCTTGAGATTTAAACCCTTCAATTACTGAGCCGACCTCTAATTTTATATTCAGGAGGTTCAAAATTAATATATAAACATAAAACTTTTTAAAACTACCTTAAATATACAACGAATTCTTTTGCCGAGGGGTGACTCTAGGTCCCCCTGGATAATAATGTGGAAAAATTAGGAACTAAATGATGATAAGTTATCTTTTGATTTTCTAAAGTACTGAACAAATAAAAGTGAACAGAGAGAGTATGAGATATGGTTTAATATAAGGAAATTAAAAAAGAAATTTGTTAATATTTATGATCTAAAACAAACCGTAGACATTTATATTCAATACATTATAGGGCAAACAAGAAATTTTCAAAATCAAATTCTTTTCAATTATAGAAAGATGCTAACTTTTTTTTTTGAAACAGACTAAAAATAAATACATGTTATAATAGCCATAATCATATACAAACTAACATTATATGATCTACTCTTTTAATTTTCTTTCAAACCTCATTATAATTTTGGATATTTTTATTATTATGGTGAAATATTGTTGTATCGAATATATAGTAATACTGTAACATAATATGAAAAATCGATTTCGCTAAATTTTTTGGTTATTATAATGAAAATGTTACATGCTTTTGAATTGTTTGATTTGATTGATATGAAATATTCTGAGTTTTTTTTTTCTTCATTTTTTGTCCTATAATGTGGAAACACATCCTAAAATAATTAGCATATTTTGATTTTTGAAAAGGATATTTGTCCTGAAAATAATATCACGAGAATAACTTATTCAGTCACTTCAATGTTGTTTTGTTATCTTCTCGTCTTTATCACAAAACATCATTTCAATTCTTTGGTAAAAAAAATACCAACATTCTATCCGTCTCGATTTATGTGATGTTAGTTCAAATTTTAACGACTAAAATCATAAATTTTGATTGTGACTTTAAGTTTGTTGAATAAATTATAAATACTATTAATAACAATAATTAATCGATTCAAAATATTTATTAAATGAAAATTTATTCGATGAATTCTTGATATCTGAATGATGCCATATAAAATTTTCTTCTAATTTCTGTAAGTAATTTTTTTAATTTTCAGGTAGGAAACTACACTAATTCTCCTCATGATCAATACAAGGTAGATTTTGCTTCATCATCCATCACAAACAACTCTACTCTTGAGGAGAGGAACGTAAATCGACGTACGTAATATATTAAACAAATTTAATTTTAACTTTGTGTGTTATATTGTTTAATTTTTCAACCAAGGATGTTGGATCGCATGCATAAACATAGCTAGCTCAACTCGCGGGTAACATATCTTTTTCAAGACTTCAGATCGTGGACTATGTTGCTCAGACTCTTTAGAAATGTCATTGTTAATTCATTCAAAAATAATGTATTTTTGAAGAATCTGACCCTAATTCAACAATATTCTTGAAGAGTCCAATCGAGTAACATAGTAGGTTTTGTTGCTAACTTAATAATGTATAAAAAAGAAAGTAATCATGTTTTGATGTATATATGACAAACTCTAAAAATATCATCAAATTGTATATTATGTATATGTTTATCGTATCAATGTATCGAACTTGAACTCAATTAAATTTAATTAATTTTTTAAGAGTTTTTTTTTCAGCTCCGGAAAAGAGGCAACGAGGACCTTCTGCTTATAATCAGTTTATAAAGTAAGACAACTCTATCTCTATGATGATCGAATTTTTAAAAAATATATCGATAGGTGTATATTGATATTCCTTCAAAAAAATAATTTATTTTAAAGAATTTAACACGAGTGTAATATGATATTATTTCTATTTTTTTAGAAAATTTGAGCAACATTTATAGTCTATCCGCTAATTATATAATTATTAGATATTTATTGAATTTTATTAACAACTATATATTAAAATAATTTATGCAGAGAGGAGATTCAAAGGATCAAGGCTAATAATCCAGATATCACTCATAGGGAAGCATTTAGTACTGCTGCTAAAAATGTAAGTTTTAATAGACAAAAAGTTAAAAGAAAAATAAAATAATAATAATAATAATATATATATATGTATATATATATATATATGTTAATTATTTGTTGTGATAACACTTATGATTTTAAATATCTCATGACATTGGTACGTGTGGTTATTATAAAAAAGGAAAAAGTGATATATCACCAATCTTGTTATTTGAACCTGATATATTTCTCGTTATGAAAGTAGCTCATATATGTCTTTATTGTTATATAAATGACTCACATATACCTCTGCCGTTAATAAGCTTATAGCATATCCTTCATTTAACGGAAGTTAAAAAATTAGTTTTAAATTTATATTTTTTACTTTTATTTTTAAAAAAAAGTTATTTATGGATATATATGATTCTTCTATCAAAGTTTAAGGTATATTTTAATTTTTTTCATACATAAATTATTTTTTGATTTCTTTTATTATAATTATTTGAGTTTCTTATTCTTATTTTATTTATTTTTCTTTCATTCCTTAGTTTAAAGAAAAAAAATTTAAACTATTTTTCTTGTCTATATTGTAATTTGATTTTGTATTCGAAGAAAAAAATTTGGTCATCTACAATAAGTTTTACAAGAATATTAGTGAAACATAAATAAATTTGATTATCAAAATAATAATTCTACATTAGTCATTGAAATAAAAAAAAATCAAAAAAAATATGTTTGTCGGAGATTAAATTTACTCATATGAGATTATATTTTTTAGAAAAAAATAATAAAAAATTAGATTAAAATTATTCTTTTTTTATTTCCGTTAGAGGAAAAGGGTATATGTGAGTTAATTATTTATAAATAGGGATATATATGAGTCACTTTCATAACAAAGGGTATATCAGCTCTAAATGACAAAGTTTAAGGGTATATCAGACTCTTTTCCTTATAAAAAACTTTTCATTCATTACAAAAAGAACTTGAATTTCATACGTATAATATCGGTTGAGAATTGATTTGATTGTCAAAATATATTTCTGATGATGTCTTGATGGACAGATAATTAGAAATTATTAAATTATTTTCAAGTTAGAAAATTGTTATTCCTTTTTTTTAAAAATGAATTTAAAAGGAAATATTTTAGTTTCTCTCTTAATTTATAATTATTATTTTTGCTGAATTTTTTATGGTTAGTAATTACTGATTTATTAGCTTTGTTTGGTTTAATTAGTGGGCACACTTCCCTCACATTCAGTTTGGCCTCATGTTAGAGACTGACAATCAAGCTAAACTTGGTGCTAGTGAGGTAATAATATTCCTAAAATTATACTATATAAATATTATATTCTTCGATCAGATCATATCACATAAACTGAGACGATAGATTTTTAAATTTCTGTTTTATTGTCAAAAAAATGACACAATATTACAATAATATGAAGAGAAAAAAAACAATTCTAGTATAAATGTAATTAAGGAAGAAAAACTTCCAAAAGTGTAAGGGAAATACTAGTCGAATTTTTGCTTATAAGCTAAAAATGTATATAATGTATCGGAAAATCCTTCAAATTTACTAAATATTGAGCCGTGGAATTAGTATTGACTTCTCCAAATCCTGCATGAACGTGGAATGTTTAGTAGTCACCGGACATTCCCTTTTAAAAAAAGATACGTAAATTAAAGCAGATAACAATATCCTCAATTTATATTTCCTTTTATTAACTTGTAGTAATTTTAATTTGTGTCTAATTTGTTCTTCATTCCAATTATGTGCAGAACAAAGAAAAGCTTATAATGCATAGAGCTGCATTGCCAAAAATAAAGACCTTCACCTTCTAAGAGTATTAATTCTCTACATGTTGTATGTTGAATTATTTAAGACAAAGTGTGATTTTATTTGTTCTATTTATTAGTAGTACTTAAAAATTGTGTAATATAATTTGGAAATTAATTATTTGAAGTTCCTTTATTGTCTACCTCAATTTATTTTATCTTTCTCTAGTTAATAATTAATGAGAGAAAAAACTTTCTAGATATTTAGATTGCTTTCTTATTCTTTGTTTATTAAGTCTAAGGTATTAGATAAAATAGTCTAACTATCGGTTATTCTCTTTATCTATTTGAATTATCACTATTTATATATTAAAACATACTTAATTGATTATATGATAATGTCTGATGTATGTACTATCTGATTGAATAATTGATGGTGCGTGATATACGTACACTCTCAAAAAATGGACCTAGAGTAGCGAGATAGATTAAGCATCGACGAAAAATAAAATCTTAAAATAATAATTAGAGTGATCGAAAATATTAAAATCCCTTTAGAAGTTTCGATACACTTGATTTATTTGTGGAACAAATGTATTTTTCCATTTATGTCAAAAGATAATTACTTATCATCACCATGGTGTACCATATTTCTAACAATTATTAAAAACAATAGGAAATAGACCTATGAATTTTAAAATTATTTCCACTCTAAGCAAAACAACTTGTACTATATATGTTGTATATAATAATAATAAATAATTAGAAACAACACTTTCTAACTTTTTGTGGTATGTTTGTGTTCTTTTTTTCATTTACTATTCATGAGTACTTTACTTTAATTAGTTTATTGGATAGATATTTGATTGCAAAAGTTGTTTTCTTCTTTTTTGTACAAAGTTAAACCTATATATAGTATAAAAAGGAACTTTTATGTTATGTCCAAGCATATATTATATATATTATGTGTATGTTAATGAATATCATTACGCTATAACACATATGAATATTATCTGGTAAAAATTAAAATTGCATAGACCACCATGGAATAGCACTCTATCTCTCTATTTTTACCATTTCAAAAACGACTTTAGAATATTAAAAATTTATATATTATAAATTTAATATCGAACTAAATTCATCGATTAAATTAAATTGATACTTAATCATTTGAAAGGGTTAGTGGTTTGACTTTTGGGATAATATCACTTTTAATCAAAGCAATTATCGATAAATTATTATTTTGATTAATATACGATTAAATATATTTATTTTTAATTAATTAAAATATATATATTTAATCTCTTTATATAAAAACATATATAGCAAAAATCAAAATTTAAAATTTATTAACTTTTTGTGGGACCAAAAATATTATTGTCCCTAGTCCCTTTCCTTTTCGGTATGACTATTATTTTTTGTAATTAAATATTTCAACCTGAAAATGAGAGCTCACATTTAAAATATTGAATTCATCACACACCACAAATTAATCAAAAAAAAAATAAAATTGTTAACACTTTATTTTCCTTATCTGTTAAGTGTTATATACTTATATTTGTTAAAGCTACGTTAAATTTGGATGTTAGCCACATTTAGGCCCACAAAAAATAATATAATTGGCTAATAAGTCAAATATCAATTAACAAAGTTGTAATTTGGTAAGATTTGCCAAGATAGTTGATTAGCATAATGTATTATTCTATATAGTTTTTGCAATCTTTTTTGATTTACTTTTTGTCTAGTCGTAGCGATTTTTAAGCATCTTTTACAATAATTTTGATATCAGATGAAGCGGGATGGTCATCTAACCTACTCTCAAAAGTGAAGGAATACGATATATTTCGTATTTCATCATTTTTTGCTAGATTAGATGAAAATTCAGTTTTTTAAAATTTATTTTTTATGTTTGATATACGTATTGAGTCTTTATAATATTAGTAATCAAATACTTTCTAATAAAATAATTTCATACTTAGAACTAAAACTCAAAATTTATAAATTATTATTTTAATATAAAAGCGGATCAATTTATCTAGAAAGGTCCACAAGGAAAATATTTATTTAAAGTAAGATTAGTCCAAGATTGTTATTTTAGTTGAATTTGTTTTCGATCAATATATATAACAATTTACATGTGATTTTATTGTAAGATTTGACTTGTTCTATATTACATGTCCTCCATTATTGGATGCATTTTTTTTCATGCATCTAATTGTAGCCTTACTTGAATAGACAATAGGGGTTGTTTGGTCGATGAAATAATGTAATACAATTTGATTCAAAATACTAATAAACTATTTTGATTGTTAATTATGGTGAGATGATTCGTAATCTCTTCATGTTTAATTAAAATTTTTGTTTGAACTCTTTAAAATTAAAAAAGTCTTATTCAGAGTATTGTCCTCATAAATAAATCGTGCAACATACAAATTCAAATTTGGTCATTGTCAATGTGGATACATAACATTAAAGAAAATGTTTTATTGAAAAATCTCTAAAATTGTTTTGATTGTCGGTGTGATGGGATGTTGATTAATGTTGTTCATAATTAAATTGAAATTGGTAAGTTCGTGATGGGATGTTGATTAATGTTGTTCATAATTAAATTGAAATTGGTAAGTTCGTGATGGGATGTTGATTAATGTTGTTCATAATTAAATTGAAATAGATAAGTTTGAATCGATCATTGGTTTATCGATAATAGCCTAATAGGTTATTGGTTTAACGAATTTAGTAATGGTTTTTTCTTACATCGGTCATCATTTTTTTTAACCGTTTGAGATTTTTTCTTAATGAGTTAACCAATAACTCAATAGTAAGCTAAATAATTATATTTATATCATTTGACATATAAAGTCTAAGTTAGAGTTTAATTTCGTATTTTTATTTTTGGCTATCTCAAACTCTCAGTTATCCTGTTATAGTGTTTGCTTTTGAGCAATATGCAATCTATCAACTAATGTGCATGGTTCATTTAGTTTGTCACCTTTTTTCTAAGTAATATTAAATAATTTTTTCGGTGTCAAATATTAACTGTTAAATCAATAACTTAATCGATAACGACCAACAACTGATAAGTTAGTATCTTAAAGGTTATATAAATCGATAAATTTTAAAATTGGATCGAACCGATAGATACGCAACTCAAAATTCTAAATAAAATTTTGGTCTGATTAAAAAAAAATCTGATAAATTGATTTTTAGCGGTTAAAATTAACCAATGCTTCTTTATTCGCCACAGTTCAAAACTTCTCCAATATTTTACCTCAGCTCCAAATCGATCAGATTTCTCCGTTGCTCAATTTCCCGGCGACTTCTCCACCGGAATTTCTCCATTTCCGGTAACGATTCCGCCAGCAACTCGCCATTTTTCTTTCTTATACTGAAATTTATTATTTACTTGAATTCAATTTCATAATTTTGTTTTTCTCTCGTCAATCGCGTTAAATTTAGGTCGAAGATGGAAACTTTGCGGAAATCAGCTTTTATGCTTTTTCTAGTTAATGTAATTTTCCGTTTTAATTTCTGAATTTGGATATATACACAATTGAAAATTGCATTTCGAGTTGTAATGGTAAATATTTTCTGTTCTAGGTCTATGTATTAAGTTTCTTCAATCATATGAGTATGTATATGCGATAAGTTTTTATACCTGTGAAAATTGCATATCCCGGTTTCAATTTATTTGTCTGATTTTTACTTTAACAGAAATAATTTTTTTTTTAAAAAAAGGAAAGAGGCATTCTTTTTTAAATGGATTAAAAAAGTAAGGCAAGCGAATTGAAACGGAGAAAGTATTTATTATATGTGTGCATTTTCACATGTAATACATGATCAGCTTGAGTTGATCTAGATTACTGATTAGTTTTATTGTGATTCAATTGACAGGTTTTTGATGAGCTATAGTTGAAGGTTGCTTTGCTTTTGGTGATCTGTGGGAAATGAGTGTTCAGTGATGAAGAAAGTGAAGAGAAAGCTTGGGAAGTATGAAGTTGGCAGAACTATTGGTGAAGGGACATTTGCCAAGGTTAAGTTTGCACGAAACACCGAGACTGGAGAGAATGTTGCCATTAAAGTCTTGGCCAAAAGTACCATTCTTAAGCATAGAATGGTTGAACAGGTATTAAGATATACTTCCCTTCAAACACTCGAGTATATGCTTTACATGTCCTGCATTTTTGTTATTTTATTTTGATAACAGTGGTGTTCACATATCCCATATTCAAAGGTTGGAGCTTGATAATTAGAAAAGTTATTCTAATCTGTGAAGTGATTATTATTGAACTTAGGTCTGAAATCTTTTCTGTCGAACTTCAGTAGGCTTTTCTGATCTGATGTGAATCAAGGGTAACCATGACAGCTTCAGTGGTGGACTATTAAGCTCACATTGAACGCCGTAGCAATGAACTCTGTTATCAAAATTGAACTATGTGAATGTGCCTGGTATCTGAGCTGAATTCTATTAGTGAACATCAGCATGTTCTCCATTATTGAGTAATTATAGTCAAATTTTAGTTGGTTGATGGATTTTTAAGCCTCTTAACTGATGGTTGGCAATAGTTTAGCTGTGTAAAAGAATTAAGATTTGATCATATTGAATTTTTATTATCTGTTTGCATTTGAAATAGATTTCTGTGTTAATAGAGCACATTCTGGGGTCTGTGTGTGATTATTCTACCGTCCTTGTTATCCATGTCTGGCATTTTGGCTGATCAATGTGCTGTTCTTTGAGATGGTTTCCAGATCAAAAGAGAGATATCTATAATGAAGATTGTCAGACATCCTTGCATAGTTCGACTTCATGAGGTAAAAAGAAAAAAAGAATAAAAAGTATTATATTACAAATACTACTGTGAGTTTGGTTGTTCTATTATCGTTGCTACTTGCTGTTGCTGATGTTTATTGATTTTGTGTTCCCTTGTAGGTTTTAGCTAGCCAGACAAAAATATATATCGTTCAGGAGTTTGTCACTGGAGGAGAGCTTTTTGATAAAATTGTAAGATTCCTTAGAATTTTCAATAAGATTTTTCCTTCTTTAATCAATAACTCTTGCAGACTTCTTGTTCCTTGTATGTGATGATGGATAACTCTCCATCTGATAATGACTAGGAAGGTAATCTGTAAATGAAAATAGAGGCACGATTGAGACATTGTTGCAACTAAGATGTGTGCCCATGACGAATTTCTATGAAGTGATAATCTTCATTTATTAGGATGAGCTGTAGTTTGGGTCAAGATACTTATGGAGGATGGGGAAGTAGATAATGGAGTGAGCAGCAGATATCTTTGGTGCATCCTATACAATATTCACAAAGCAATAGTCTGGTGGAGTAATCTGTATAATGAGAAATAGAGGCATGACCGAGATATCTCTTTTTTATATTTGAAAAATAGAGGCATGCTGAGATATCCGTAGAAAAAGACATTCTGTATTTGGATAAAGTAATTCCAGTCCATGCTTTTTATGTGGAGAGCTTGGAGATCATTTTCTTTACTCTCAAAGCAGTTAAGAGTGTGTTGAGTTACCTTCTAGTAAGTCAAAAATTCCATCTGATCAAGAGGTTCCTCTGGATAGGTGTTACCAGTCTTATTTAAGCACAAGATAGTGATCGGAAATGCTTAATTTGTCAGTGACGATTTAGCTTTAAATCAGTTTTTCTCTGTCAGAGATGAACTCTATCGAGAAGGATTATTTTCGCTTATGAACTTTGTACATTTTTTTCAGTATTCCTGAATAGTTGGTATGAAATGCATGATCCAGCCTGGTTCTGATCAACTAAATCTCATCCTCATCAAACATATAAATTGTTGGGTTACTTAGGTATAAGCTGGTTCATTGATAGTAGTCCAGTTTCCAATTAGGCACTTGCGTCTTTACTAGTTTACTTCAGCTCATGGAGCTTTAACCCTTTATGGTTTATTTTGTCCTTCTCCCTATGAGTTATCAAGGTTTGATTTTCAAGATTTAGTAATGTATCTGTCTCTTCAATTCTATATTCGTTCAATTTATAGGTTCATCTAGGTAGGCTTTCTGAGGATGAAGCAAGGAGATACTTCCAAGAACTCATAGATGCAATTGCTCACTGTCACAGCAAGGGTGTTTACCACAGAGATTTGAAGGTTCGCAATTGCTGATTGGAAGAGATATTTTGTGAAAATTATATATCTTAATCTTTTAACTATTGCTCCTTGTTCCCCAGCCTGAAAATTTGCTTCTTGATTTCCAAGGGAACTTAAAAATTTCTGACTTTGGGCTTAGTGCATTGCCTCAACAAGTAAGCAACATCTGATGTTAGTTGCATTAGATTGTATATCTATTTTTGTTTCTTTCCTTGTTCATTAGAGCTTCTAAATGGGAATTTACTCAAATCTCTAACAGGGAGTCGAGCTCCTCTATACCACTTGTGGGACTCCAAATTATGTTGCACCTGAGGTATGATGCATATATATTTTGAATGTTCTTCTTGTTTTGTACATGCAACCCTTCATTCTTCATTTGATTGGCTTGCTATCCCAAAACCCTTTGTTGAGAATATAATTGAGTAATAAAAAATGTACTCTCTCTAACACCTTAAGCTTTTAGATGAGATGGTCACACACTTCAACATGGTATCAGTGCCAAGCAGAGGTCTTGAGATCGAATCTCACCACCACCCAAAATTAAGAAGAATTTCCACGTGTTTGGCCTGAATTTATTCATGACAGTTTCTTATCATTAATATGTAACTTGCACCAGCTATACTTATTGTTTGGTTCTGCCTAGATTTAAGTTATATCATTAATATGTCACTGAGTATTGTTTGATTCTGCCGTGCTAGCTCCGACTTTCAGGTTCATTGATTAGAAACTTAGGTCCTCTTATCTATTTTCCCATTCCTCATACATCCTCAATGATGTCCACAATAATAAGCACCGTGTGTATTTGTTTTATCTGCAAGGAGCTTGAATCAGAAAGAAGCGAAGCAGAGGGGTGGTTGTCTTTCATTTTAATTCATTGCTATCCCTTTTACCTAGCATGATCAATTGGCTTTTGATTAGTCATCAAATGAGAGAGAATCAGAATTTATTTCCCTTCCATGAGCTCTGTAGTAATATACCTTCAAATCATTGCAGTAACTGTCAGTTACCTTTCTTTGGGTAACATCATAACCTTGTGCTGAATTGTTTAATATAAGAGGTTTGCATCAAGTTGAATTTGTCTGAACTATGTCAATTGCTGAACATATGTTAATTTGCTTACTATGTTTTCTTATATTCGAATGTGTTTGGACTCTTTCTGTGGTAGCTGGCTTATTACTCTTAGTTACTTCTTCAGGTGTTAGGTAACCGAGGTTATGATGGTGCTGCTGCGGATGTGTGGTCATGTGGTATCATCCTTTATGTTCTGATGGCAGGATATCTTCCATTTGATGAGACAGACCTTCCTACCTTGTATACAAAGGTTAGATGCAGTCATCATGCATTTGTAATGTGTTAAATGGAAGCATAGATAATTCTGTCAAATGATTCTCTTTTTCTTCTTATATAGTGACAAATGCTAAGGATCATAGGTCATATGAGGGACAATATTTGTTCTTTTCTCATATGTATATTATTCATTTCTGATTAGGATTGAGGTGTAATGAGTTGATTGATATATTTATTCAGCTCTCTGACCTTTGTGTGAAGGATAAGCTCTCTTTCACTTGGCATCGACCACACTGCTCTCATAAAAAATATTGTTCCGTATTTTTAATTTCATCTTCATCTGCATGAGTTTCCTCCTTGTGTTTTTTATTATTACCATTATTTGTTTTTTGTTTGTTTTTTATTAGATTAATTGGGGCTTTAAAAGAACTTGACATTACTTGTACACGGCTTGCTATATGTTAAAGTTATTGTTTGCTCTATGTGTGGCTTACTATATGTTAAATGTTATGGTTTGTTCTGCACAAATTTCTTATTGCTTTTAATATTGACACAGATCAAGGCTGCTGAATTTTCCTGTCCATTTTGGTTTTCTCCTGGTGCAACATCGTTGATTCAAAAAATCATTGATCCAAATCCTCAAACTGTAAGTGCACTATATTTTCAACCCTGAAAACTATGGTGTCCGATTGCCTATTTGTCACTTAATTATTCAATCTACTATAAGCTTATAACATTAAAGTTGTACTGGAAAAACAAATCCCTCATGATGAAATATGAGAAGCCCCGTAACATGGATTAAATTCCTTCCAAATTTCCCGGATTGGTTATAGAAATCCTTTTTGAGGTCATTTTAAATGTGAGAAATGCCTTAAGCATGCCTTCTGCTCATTCTTTGCTTTTGTTCAGTATAAGTGTTCCTTTTCTCATTCCCTCTTTCTTGGTTAATTTGTGAAACTTCAGCATAACATGTACAAAAGTCCTTTTAGTGTTTTCATAGTGATTTACTCAGAACCATGTACATGCAGAGGATCAAGATTGATGGAATAAAACGAGACCCTTGGTTCCGGAAAAACTACAGAGCTGTTAAAGCTAAAGCAGATGAAGTAGTGAATCTTGATGATATCCATGCTGTGTTCGACGACATTGAGGTTGAATCTTTTCACATTCGTCTTCTAGTATGCTAACTAGTATGTCTGTGTGAGGAAGTGATCAAGTTTAAGATAAATTGTACTCTGGATTTAGATTAACTGAAGTGATTGGCCTGATACTTCGATGTTCTCACCCATTATAGGTTTGATATGTTCTATTTTTATGTGCAGGATGCATTTGTCAGTGAAAAATCAGAAGATAGTGAGAGTGGTCCCTTGGTAATGAATGCATTTGAGATGATAACACTATCTCAGGGATTAAATCTATCCGCTTTGTTTGACAGACGTCAGGTACAATGATTAATTTAGTTCATGGACCAAAAAATAAACCATACCCGACGTTTCCAGATTTTAATTCATCACAACGTCATCTGTTTTATCTCTTTCTCCCGCTTCTTCTTGTAAGCTTTTCGTTTCTTGGATAAGGAAGAGAATCTGATGGGATATGTAAATTGATTCTTCCTTGAATTTTTAGTTAGCATGCTCTTATATAGAAGCACGTTAATTTATCTCTCACTATTTTTGGCCTCTTTTTTTTCTCCTTTTTCCTTGTAGTCAAGTGGCTCAGAGCCAATGCTACATAATATCAACTTTTCTAAATCTAATTTTAGATCAAATACGTCGCGATTATTTTTTCGTTTAAAAAAAAAAGTGTCAGATATGATCTGAATAGCTTATATTTTTAATGATTGAGTTATTTATGTTTCTACAAATTTAAAAATGCTGACATGTGTAGTAGGTTGTCTCTTTGCTATTAAGGTTTTGACAACTTCCTTCTTATAACAAAGAGTAATTTCCTCTCTCATTCTTACAGGATTATGTCAAGCGTCAAACTCGATTTATTTCCCGCCAACCTGCTAAAGTCGTCATTGAAACTATTGAAGCAGCTGCAGAGTCGTTGGGTCTTAAGGTCCACACACGCGATTACAAGGTATATTTCTAACTCTCCATATTCAGGGACAAATGATTCTCTTTTATTCAAATTTGAATTCAATCAGAATGAAGCATTGTTGTAACTAAATAATCAGTTTCCCATTGGATCAACTGTAATTTTCAGCATTTTTTTTTACCCTTTTCCCACAATCTATTAAACAGCAATTTCCTTTCAACATCAAAGAAAATGGAATATACAGGAGGAATTCACCCCTTCAATTTTTCCTGCTCTTTATAAGGAGCAAAATCGTAACTGTGCCACATAAGCTTTAGTCGCATTTTGCTTAACACTGAATGAATGATGGTTGTAAATTTATCTGTTGCTTAAGATGCAAACATCTTGGAACTAGGGGCAGATCTATAATTTTATAACACAGAGCGAGGAGTACCACTCCTTTTTGTCACTGGATACAAACTAATGGTAATTCTATCGTGTTCTTAAACGAGAATACCCTGGGTAAGTTTCTCGTTATTGAGTGGGAATTGATTTATTGAACCACTCTTCTCATTGCAGACAAGAATTGAGGGGGTAACGGCAAATAGGGCTGGTCAATTTGCTGTTGTGCTGGAGGTAACTTTAAACTTAATAAACCGATTCATCTTAAGATCGGTGTTTCTTATTTTCATTTGACCACTCTTTCTATAATTTGTGAAGGTTTTCCAAGTAGCCCCTTCCCTTTTTATGGTTGATGTTAGAAAGGCTGCTGGGGACACTCTTGAATATCACAAGGTTGCTTCTACACTCAACTTTGACTGATTTTTTTTTTTTCACTATAGCTTGCATTACATACTTATATTTAGCTTCTGCACGAAAATGACGTTATGTGCATTTGCAGTTCTACAAAACCTTCTGCACGAAAATTGACGACGTCATTTGGAAACCGAAGGAAGGCATGTCAAATGCTGTTCTGCTTAGGACAAGGACTCGCTGAACCAGATTTCTGGGAATGAAGTGAATCACTTATCAATTTGATGTGCTCCGAAGACGTTCGTTGTGTTAGGTATAGTGTGTGTAACTGCATGTTGTTAATCTTTTGTTCACTACATATCTTAAGTGATAAATCATGGGCTCAAAAGCAATACAAGTAGGGTTGTAAATGAGACGGTTCGATCAGTTGTAACCAATTTTTCGGATATTATATAATGTATAACCAAAACTAGACTTTTCAAAACCATCCCAATAATATCGGTTTCTCTTTGGTATCGGTACAGTTAGTTTTCATTTTTAAAAAAAAAAATAAATTATCACCTCAAAGTATACTATTAGTAGAATATTTCTTTATTGCAAACGTGTTTGCAAAGAAGCACTTCAATTCTTCACCAAGAAGTCAAGAATGTAAAACCTTATTGCCATATTGTTTGATCTTAAACATTTAATACGAGTGCTTGCGTAGGTTTTAGTGTATTTTTTGATAGAATGCCTATTATAATATCTTTTAATTTTAAACTTAATTAACTAAAGGTTAATTAAAGAGCAAAGTCCCACAGTTCTAAACCTACATATTGTTTTTTTTTCTTTCAAAATTCTTCATGGACGTCCGTTAATACCTTAGCTACGGATCGAGTTGTCCAAGACGGTCAAAATGATCAATTTTCAAGGTCAAACAAGTCCCGGAGAAGGTTAATCCCCCATTTTCCTGATTTTTATGTGCTATTGTGCAAGAATTTTTAGTGATTCAAAATTCCGATATCATATTTGCCAAAAATATTCATGGACGTCTGATAAGACCTTAGTTATGGATCCAATTGGCCCAGACGACCAAAATGACCCATTTTTAAGTTTAATCGGGCTCCGGAGTAGGTAAATCCCCAATTTTATCGATTTTCGTGTGATATAGTCCATGAATTTATGGTGATCCGATTCCAATGTCATTTTTGCTGAAATTTTTCAGACCTTAGCTATGGATTCAGTTGACCCTGACGGCAAAAATGACCCATTTTCAAGGTCAAACGAGCTCCAGAGCAGGTAAACCTCCGATTTTGCCGATTTTTATGTCTTATAGTTCACCATCTTTTTTGGTGATAAAAAGTTCCGACGATATTTTTTTTGAAATTTTTCACGGAAGTCCGTTGATACCTTAGTTATGGACCCAGTTGGACCAGACAACCAAAACGCTTCATTTTCAAGGTCCAACGAGCCCCGGGCAGGGAAACCCTCATTTTTGCTGATTTTTGTGTGTTATAGTCAATGAGTTTTTGGTGATTCAAAATTCCGACATCTTTTTTGCCAAAATTTTTAGTGGACGTCCGTTAAGACGTTAGCTACGGAATCAGATTGCCCTGACGACCAAAATGACCAATTTACGAGCCCCGAATTAGGTAAGCCCCATTTTGTTGATTTATGTGTACTATAGTCCATAGATATTTAATAATCCAGAATTCTAACATCTTTTTTTGTCAAAAGTTTTCATAGACGTCTATTAAGATGTTACCTATGGAGCTAGTTGGCCTTTACGACTAATACAATCCATTTTGAAGGTGAAACGAGCCCCAGAGCATATAAATCCCCCTGTTTTGTCGATTTTTGTGTGCTATAGTTCACGATCTTTTTTGGTGATCTAGAGTTCCAATGATTTTTATCCTCAAATTTTTTGTGGAAGTCCTTTAAGACGTTAGATATGGAGCCAATTGGCCAACACGGCCAAACCGATCCATTTTGAAGGTCAAACGAGCCGCGGAGTAGGTAAACCCCTAATTTTATCGATTTTTAATCCGAAATTCCAACGTCTTTTTTGTCTAATTTTTTTTAGGACATACGTTAATACATCATTATAGAGCCAATTGACCCTGACAATCAAAACAACTCATTTTCAAAGTAAACTTTATTTTGTCGATTTTTGTGTACTATAGTCCATGGATTTTTCGGTGATCCAGAATTGCGATGTCTTTTTTGCCCAAACTTTTTTTGGACGTCCGTTAAGACGTCATATATGGAACGAGTTGGTCTGACGGCCAAAACGATCCATTTTGATGATCAAACGAGCCTCAGAGCTGGTAAATCCCTTATTTTGCCGATTTTTTAGTGCTATAGTCCACGATCTTTTTTGGTGATCCAGAATTTTGATGTCTTTGTTAGCTAATTTTTTTGTGGAGGTCCTTTAAGACGATAGCTATTGAGCCAATTGGACCTGACGGTCATAACAACCCATTTTGAAGGTCAAATAAGTCACGGAGCATGTAAATCCCCGTTTTGCCAATTTTTGTATGCTATAGTCTATGAATTTTTGGTAATCCAGAACTCTAACGTCTTTTTTGCCCTAGTTTTTCGTGGAAGTTCGTTAAACGTTAGATATGGAGTACGTTGGCCCTGATGGTCAAACAACTAATTTTTAAGGTCAAACGAGCCCTGAAGCAAGTAAATCTCATTTTGCCAATTTTCGTGTACTATTGTCAATGGATTTTGGGTGATTCAGAATTCGGTCGTAGTTTTTGCCCAAATAATTCATGGACGTCTGTTAAGATGTTATCTATGGATCCAGTTGGCCTTGACATCCAAAATGACTCATTTTGAAGGTCAAACGAGCCCCAGAGCAGGTAACCGATCATTTTACCGATTTTTGTGTGCTATAATCCACATTCCTTTTTGGTGACCTAGAATTTCGACGTCTCTTTTGCCCAAATTTATTGTAGACATTTGTTAGCACGTTAGTTATGGTACAAGTTTGTCTTAACAGTCAAAACAAATTATTTTAAAGGTCAAACGAGCTCAGAGCAGGTAAACCACCGATTTTTCCATTTTTGTGTGCTATAGTCCATCGATTTTTGGTGATCCAGAATTTCGAAGTCTTTTTTGTCAAATTTTTTCGTGGACGTCCATTAATATGTTAACTATGGATCATGTTAGCCTTCATGGACAAAACAACTTATTTTCAAGGTCAAACAAGCTTCGATGCAGGTAAACCCCATTTTACCGATTTTTCGTGTACTATAGTCTAAGGATTTTTGGTGATCAAGAACTTCGACGTCTTTTTTGCCAAACTTTTTTGTGGATGTCCATTAAGACGTTATCTATGGAGCAGTTGGTCATGAAGGCCAAAACGGGCTATTTTGAAGGTCAAACGGGTCCTGGAGAAGATAAAATCTCTTGTTTCGTCAATTTTTGTATGTTATTGCCCACAATTTTTTTGGTAATCCAGAATTTCAACGTCTTTAAGACGTCCGTTAAGACGTTATCTATGGAGCTAGTTGGCCCTAACAGTCAAAAGTACCCATTTTGAAAGTCAAACGAGTCTCGGAGCAGGTAAACTATCCATTTGGTCGATATTCATGTGCTAGTCCATGTATTTTTGATGATATATAATTTCGATGTCTTTTTTGCCCAAATTTTTTGTGGTCATTTGTTAAGATGTTACATATGGATCCATTAGCCCTAACGGTCAAAATGATCCATTTTAAAGGTCAAACGAGCCCCGAAGCAGTCCATGGATTTTCGGTGATTCAGAAATTTGATGTCTTATTTGTGGACGTCCGCTAAGACGTTATCTAGGGAGATAGTTGGCCCTAACGGTCAAAACGACCAATTTTAAAGGTCAAACGAGCCCCAGAGCATGTAAACCCCTCATTTTGCAGATTTTCATGTGTTATAGTCCACAATCTTTTTTGGTGATCCAGAATTCTGGCGTCTTTTTGTCAAAAGATTTTTTAAACGTCCTTTAAGACGTTAGCTATGGAGTCACTTGACCACAATGGCCAAAACGACCCATTTTTATGGTCTAACAAGCCTAGAGCTGGTAAATCCCCCATTCTGTAGATTTTCATGTGCTATATAGTTCATGGTATTTTTTGGTGATCCACAATTTTGATGTCTTTGTTACCCTTATTTTTTGTGGATGTCTGTTAAGACGTTAGCTATGGAGCTAGTTGGCCTTGACGGTCCAAATAACCCATTTTGAAGGTCAAACGAGTCTTGGAGAAGGTAAACCTCCTATTTTTCCAATTTTCGTGTACTATAGTCTATGAATTTTTTATGATCCAGAATTTCGACGTCTTTTTTGCTTAAATTTTCCCTGAAAGTCCGTTAAGACGTTTTCTAGTGGAGCAAATTGGCTCTGACGGCCAAAAAAACCCATTTTAAATGTCAAACGAGCACAAAAGCAGGTATACCCCTCATGTTACCAATTTTCGTGGGCTATAGTCCATGATCTTTTTTGGTGATCCAGAATTCTGATATCTTTTTTACCCAAAATTTTTGTGGATGCCCCTTAAGACGTTAACTATGGAAATAGTTGGCTCTGACGGTCAAACCGGCCCATTTTGAAGGTCAAATGAGCCCCAGAGCAGGTAAACCCCTTACTTTATCGATTTTCGTGTGCTATAGTCCATGAATTTTTGGTGATCCAGAATAGTGACGTCTTCTTTACCCAAATCTTTTATGTACGTCCGTTAAGACATTAGCTATGGAGCCAGATGTTCTGAAGGCTAAAACGACTCATTTTCAATGTCAAACGAGCCCCAAAGCAGGTAAACCTCATTTTGCCAATTTTCGTGTGATATAGTCCATGGATTATTGGTGACATGAGATTCCTACGTATTTTTTGTTCAAATTTTTATAGACATCCGTTAAGACGTTATTTATGAATCTGGTTGGCCGTGACGACCAAAACAACCTATTAAAAGGTCAAACGAGTCCCAAAGCAGGTAAACCCATTATTTTTATCGATTTTCGTATGCTATAGTCCACAATCTTCTTTGGTGATCCAGAATTCTATTATTTTTAATGCCCAAATTTTTGTGGATGTCCATTAAGATGTTAGGTGTGGATCCAGTTGTCCGTGACGGGCATAATGACTCATTTTGAATGTTAAATAAAGCCCTCGGAGAAGGTAAATCCCTAATTTTGCTGATTTTCGTGTGCTATGGTCCATAAATTTTTTGTGATTCAAAATTTCGACTTCTTTTTTCTAAATTTTTTCGTGGAAGTTTATTAAGATGTTAACTATGAATCCAGTTGGCTCTGACGGCCATAGTGGCACATTTTCAAGGTTAACGATCCCCGGATCAGGTAAACCCCCATTTTGCCAATTTGCGTGTAATGTAGTCCATGGATTTTAGGTGATGTCTTTTTTGCCTAAATTTTTTGTGAAAGTCCATTTAAACGTTAACTATGGATTCAAATTGCCCTGACAAGTAAAACAATCAATTTTCAAGATCAAACGAGCCCCGAAGCAGGTAAACACCATTTTGCCAATTTTTGTGTACTTTAGTCCATGAATTTTTAATGATCCGAAATTTCAACGTCTTTTTTGCCCAAACTTTTCATGGACGTCCATTAAAACATTATCTATTAAGCCAATTGGCTCTAACGAATAAAATGACCCATTTTGAAGGTCAAACGAGTCCTAGAGCAGATAAACCCTTCATTTTGCCTATTTTCGTGTGAGATCGTCCACGATCGTTTTTTGGTGATCAAATTTTTTGTGTACGTCCATTAAGACGTTAGCTATGGAGTCAGTTGACACTGACAGCTAAAACGACCCATAGTTAATGTCAAACGAGCCCCAAAGCAGGTAGATTCCATTTTGTCAATTTTTGTGTGCTAGTTTAAGGATTTTTGGTGATAAGAGATTTCGACATATTTTTTGACCAAATTTTTATGGACATCCATTTACCATTTGTCCCTAACGGCCAAAACAACCCATTAGAAGGTCAATCGAGCCCTAAAGCAGGTAAACCCCTCATTTTACCAACTTTTGTGTGCTATAGTCCATAATTTTTTTAGTGATCTAGAATTCTAACGTTTCTATCGTCCAAATTTTTTGTGGATGGCCATTCAGATGTTAGGTGTGGAGTTAGTTGTCCCTGACCGCCATAATGTCCCCTTTTGAAGGTCAAACGAGCCCCAACGAAGGTAAACCCCCAATTTTGTCAATTTTCTTGTGCTATGGTCCATGAATTTTTGGTGATCCAAAATCCCGACTTCTTTTTTACCCAATTTTTTTGGAAGCTTATCAAGATGTTAATCATGCATCCAGTTTATCCTGAAGGCCATAATGGCATATTTTCAGGGTCAACGAGCCCCAGTGCAGGTAAAACCCTATTTTGCAGATTTACGTGTGTCCATAAATTTTAGGTGATCCAGAATTCTGACGTCAAAATTTTGCCAAATTTTTCGTGGACGTCCATTAGAACATTAGCTATGGAGTCATTTGGGTTTGACGACTAAAACGATCAATTTTTAAGGTCAAACAAGCCCTGAAGCAGGTAAACACCATTTTGCCAATTTTCGTGTAATATAATCCATGAATTTTTGGTGATATGAAATTCTAACTTATTTTTTGCCCAAATTTTTGTGGACATCCGTTAAGACGTTATCTATCTATTTTACCGATTTTCGTGTACTATAGTCCATGAATTTTTTGTGACCCGGAATTCTGATGTCTCTTTTAACTTAAAGTTTTCATAAACGTTCATTAAGACGTTATCTGTAGAGCTGGTTTGCCCTAACGGCTAAAACAACTCATTTTGAAAGTCAAATGAGCCCCGAAGCAGGTAAACCTCTCATTTTTGTCGATTTTTGGTGTTCTATAGTGCACAATCTCTTTTGGTGATCAAAATTTCATCATTTTTTTTGCCCAATTTTTTTTATGAATATCAGTTAAGATAGCTTTGGAGGCAGTTGGTCTTAACAGCCAAAATGAACTATTTTGAAGGTCAATCGAGCTAGGAGATGTTCTCCTTGGTCAATACTCGTATATTTTAATTAATCTGACATAGTTTAACCACAAATACAAAATTTGAATTAATAAAAAGATTCTTTAAATTTATATTATAACATTTATGTTACAAAGTTTTTTCATCAAGAAAAGAGGAGGAGGATGGATTTCTACTTTGATTCTTGTGAAAAATAAGAGCAAATTTCAAATCCATAGGCATAATAGTTGAGGGTTTTCTAAATAATTTAACAATTTACAATATTTTTGAAAACACAGAAACTGTAATAAAAGGGGATACAATCAAATCTCTAAAATATTATTATAGATAACACATAGTGTATAGCTAATAGTTAAAATCACACATGATATTTTTTTACAAGTTCCGCTCTTAACTACTAGTTATTCTTTTTTTTTATCTGAACTATCACCATTTAGCTAATAAAGTATATTTTTAATACGTAGATTATAATAATTTATATTGCCTAGCACAAGAAAACTAAAAAGCTATCGATATCACAAAAAAATAATAATGGAGATATGTTTCAACTATAATCTATATAGTATAGCATAATATTTTTTTTAAAAAAAATTAAAAGAAACATTATCATTAAATAGAATATCATTATAAAGAATAATTGTTTAATTTATTTATTTGTAGGCCAGCAAAGGTTCCCAAAAATTATTAGAAAAAGACTATATATAATAAGTACTTCTTTTGACTTTAAATAAAGGTGAAGAAAGAGACAAAATTCACCAAATATAATTTGAAAACATATCACTAAAATATTTGGTCAGTACTGGACCTACAAGTTCAGTACATTGAATCTGAAATTTAACATATCTAACTCCAATTCATTGAATCTGCATTACATTAGTGGTCAAATAATGTGAATTAAATTATTTTAAAATAATAAATTTTAAAATAATTTTTCCTATTTAAGAGGTAGAATAAAAATACTCCATTTTTTGACAAAATGAACCTAATTTTCGATAGAAGTGATACACACCCCTTTAATACCCTCGATCTTCCGACATAAGTAATAGATGTGATATACACTAATACCCTCAAAATTCCGAGGAAAGTGATATACACCCCTTTATTCTTACCAAACTTAGATATTTTCAACATTTATCTCAATTTTTCGTTACAAGATCAAACGTTGTTTTAAGACAAACAAACTATTACTTCATTATATATAGAAAAAAAAAACATAGCGGCAAGGAGTACAAATCTGAATATATGGAACCTGGTAAAAAAATAGGACATTGATAATCCTATCAAAAAACTAGGGACTGGTTAAAAAAACAACCTATATAAGGTTGTAATGGCCAAGCCCCTGGGAATAACAGGCACCACAACAACAGAAATTTGCTCAAAGCAACTAAAGACTAAAAGACACATAATAGAATACTTACAGTGAAAACACTAAAGACTCTTGAACATGAAAAAAAACTACACAACTAGTGTCTGATTCCTGCAATGTAGCTAAGCACAAAAGAGGCAAATGCGCGATGAATCTTGTCTATCGCAGTTTTAGCTGAATGATTCAAACCGCCTGGCTCTCGAGGAGCAGCATGAGTGAAAATTTTAATCTCAGTACTAGGTGACTGTATTCTCAGGAGACCATGGCATGATGGAGGTAAGTCTCCAAAAATGGCTGAAACAGGGTTTCGATTTGACGAAGCCCTGCAAAAAATGGTGGGAAAAAGATGTATGCCATAGCGTCCTGGAAAACAACCGAGACACTGAAGTATTAGATAGCCACGAATATATACGGGCTAAAAAAAGAACACTCATGTTTGCTTCTGTAATTGCCAGGCTGAATGAACCAATTTAGCTTTCTGCTTATTCGTTTTGACCATTTCGAATGCATTTCCTTGTGCCCTTTGTGGGTTTAGGAGAGGATGTCACACCTCCACAAAGCCTCCACAAGAAGCTCGACTGAGCTGCAACTAACGGAGCAATGCTGGAGATTCAAGCCGAGTAGATTCTCTCCTAACTTTTTAAGAGAAAGGACACTCTTGTTCGATACCATGGAGCAACCTGATAAGGAAAGGACCTGCAAATTCACTTGCACTCCACGGGATAAAGCAGCTACACCAGAATCAGTTATTGCACTCTTAGAAACATCAAGATCAATAAGTAATGGGCAATAATCTGCAATTGCCACTAAACTTGCATCGGTAACCTTCCTGCATCCGTCGAGATTCAACAATTCAAGGGTCTCGCCATGTCGCATAGCCAATGAAAGCACCACTTGGTCTGTCAAGTTCAGGCAGTCGCTAAGGTTCACCTTAACAAGTCCTTCACAGTTCTCCAAGAGTGGGAGAAGACCAGCATCGGTTATTCCACAAAGCCCACTGAGATCTAATTGATGCAGCTTGGGGCAGAGCTTACCAACCATAGCTAAGCTACTGCTCCCGAATCCTGGACAGCTTCGGATAGACAAGGACCGAAGAGATTCACATGGAGACAGCATGGAAGTTTGTAGAGCTAGATCCTTGATTCCCATGCACTTCACTAGGGAAAGAGACTTTAACTTCCTGCAGTTTGAAACTGCATTAAGGATACCTACTTGGGTAATTCTGTTGCACTCCTCCAAGATTAAACTCTCGAGAGATCCAGCCTCTTTAGCGAAAGCAACAAGACCACCGTCAGAAACAAAGCAACACTTGCGAATGCACATATATTTGAGATTTGGGCATCCCTTTCCCACAGCTTCAAGACCGACATCAGTGGCTCCCTGGCATAAGGTGATTGTCAAAGAAACCAAAGACTGGAGGCCTTGAGCATTACCCATGACCCAAAATCCCTTCTGACTCACATTACGAAGTGAACAAAGATTAAGACTGGTAATCAGCTTGCCGTAGTGACCAATGACAGCAAGCGAGAAATCGGTAATGTTTAGACCATGTAGTTTCACTTTTGTTAACATTGAAGCACCTGATGACAGAAGACTAGCAACTCCCTGATCTCCGACAAGCGGGCAGTCCTTAATTGTAAGAGACTGTAGTTTGGTGCAGTATTTTCCAACAGCTTGCAAGCCTTCGTTTCCAATATTTGGACAGGATTCAATAGTCAATGAAGTCAAGCTAGGGCAATTCTCTGCTATTGCAACAAGACCCTTGTTGGAGATTGAACGACAGTGGCTCAGATCTAGCTTTTCTAATGAATGGCATTCTCTTGCAACCTCCAAGAGACCTTCATCTCCGATAGAAGGAACATTCCACAATGATAGGACCCTAAGAGAAGGACACCCATGTGCAACAGCAGATAGACCGACATTAGTAATACCACGAACTGAGTTACTCCCTCGAATAGAAAGCTTTCCTAGTCCACCACGGGTAGACGTCCCAACTGCAATTGCAGCAAGTCTAATATCAGTAGCTTTCTTCCCTTCCACACACCTGGTAAGGTATCCATCACATTCAACTTCAAGATCTTCATCTTTAGAGATCATTATAGCGTCATTTAGATTGTTATAGCTCTTGCTCCTGCAAATTTCAGAGTTTTTCACGCTACTCAACACTGTAAGCCAGCGCTTAGAAACACAAGCTGCTGCACCCCTTTCTCGGCCTCCAGGCAATCGTCTGAGGATCTCAAATAGGCATTCATCAGGAAGAACCTCAAGAGATGGATCCTTTGATCGGTCTTCGACAACAAACGGGCCACTAATTCTAGCCCTCTTCCTAGGAGGACAGTAAACATCAGCATGACCCAAAGACAACATGAGACCCAAATCTGCAGAACAAAACGATCCACCAGAGTAGAACTCATCATCACCTGAAATCCAAGGAGAACATACACTGTCAGCTATATTTTCCCTTAAATCAACAAGCTATAGCATACTAAATTTTGTCTAGTCCATATGCCCATTTCTTATGAATTTTCACTTCAACTTCACAACAGATAAACAACCATCACATGTAAATTAAACCTTTAGATCTACCTATTATGTAGATACATCTTCAGATCAGATCAGATGGATCATTCTAGATAGAGAACCCAAAAGAGTAATCCACAGTTTCTTCAATATATTACCAATCTTTAACATAGATTCAGAACATAAGACAAAAGAAGATCTATCTAACACAGAAATTAATCTTCAAAGCCAAATATATAGCCTCATCACAACTTTTTTCCCTTTTTTTATCCATTTCAGTAAATTAATGTTCATATTCACCTCAACAATCATGCATCTATACAAAGTTTATATGAGTTAATTTCTTAGATAGTCACTCAACTTAGTTATTATCTCATAACCAACTTCCTTTTAAAAAAAGGAACATGATTGGATCTAAACCTAAAAGATCATCTTCATTTCAGTAAATTAATAAACCATATTCATCTCAAGTTATCAACAATCATGCACCTAGACATAGTTATAAACTATATTCATGGATCTAAACCTTAATAGAATTCATCTTCTTCTCAGTCTCAACAATCATGTAACTATATAAATTTATAAACTTTATTCATGATTAACAAATTACATGAATCTAAAACATAACAAATCAATCTCTATCTCAGTAATTCATGATGAAAAAAACAAAAAACTGTAACTGAAACTTCAAAATTCATTGAAATATGAACAACCCCATAACTTAAAATAACAAAGAAATGAAGTTTTTTTGAAACTCACCACTGTAATTAACAAGAGTAGGCATGATTGTTCTTCAATCCCAAACTGTAAAGCAAAAAAGATCAGATTTTGAACCAAGAAAAACACAACCCAGATTATATCCTTAACCAAGATTCGCATTCCAGATGAAAAAATCCAATTTTTTTTCAAGAACCCTCAAAA